ATTTAATTTAGATTTGTGTAATATATATCTTACTAAAATAATTAAATTTTTACAAAAATCTCAATTTAGTCTAATTCTGAAAATTGGCCCATATGACTATTTAGCTAACTAGAACAAAAAATATAATATTTAAAAATGGAAAAAAGGAATTGGCGCTGTATATCTTTTTATCTTGTTTTGCACATTAGTGCAACTTGACTATTAGAGAAATATTTAAAAAATCTAGTATTTTTATACTAATACTATCAAATTAGTTTCTTATTTTAATCATTCTAATAATTCATATTTTATTGAAAAATCAAAAAGAACATTATTCCAAATATTATGCAATAATAAAATCTGGAGATACAAGATGGAATTCTTACTATGATTATTTTAAAAGTTTGATTTGAATTAAGCAAACAAGAATGAGTAAAGTTTTATATATTTTTAAACTTATTTTTTTGTTAATTTGAAAATATATAAATAAAAAAATATTAATAAATATTTATAGAATTTAGCCACATAATATGAACCTCTTAAATCTGAAATAGCTTCTTCATTATCTCAAACTTAAAATACTAATGAATTATATCTTCTAATATTTGTCAAATAATTATGAATAATTTATTTTAGTTTCAGATTTCTTAACTTTTAATACTAATGCAATCTTATTGCAAAGTACTTAACAAATTACAATTAGATAAGGCATAATTATTTGATGTTACTTTATCTTTTAGATATTTTATTAAATTTTGGAAGCAGAATTCAGATCAACCATTAGCTAAAAATATAATTACATATCTTGAAAATTAGTGACAAAGTTGGAAGCAGCCATTGTTATTACTTTCATTCCAAATATCAGATTAATAAATTTAATCCTAATTTAGAAACTGTTAACTTTACAATAATAGGAAATTGGTTTAGTTACTATTATAAAGTATGGTCTAACTAAATTATTTGCTAAATTTGAATTCTACTGAGTAAAAAAATCACCTTTTGATAATGAAATATATGGTCAATTTGGTGATGATGTTCTGGTTTACTAGTATTACTATTCTATAATGTATAAGAAATTATGATTGGTAACTATAAGAATTTTTAATATTTGTGTAAATTCAGCATCTGTGAAATGATTATTTTTAACTATAGAATTTTTACATACTCCTCAAAGAAATAAATTAAAGGTTGTATTAATTTATTTATATTATAATATAAATTTATTATTAATTATCTATTTATTTTTAGCATGAAAAAGTTGTAACTATGATACAATTTCATGCTAATATTTATCAAAGTGAAAATGAAAAGAAAGGAAAATATGAAATTAAAAATTTTTATGCATTACCACTTATTGATGAATCAAGAAATCAGGAAAATGAAAAAATTATTAATATAGAATCACAAGATAATGTTAGAAAGATACTTAAAGATCTTCAAAATGTAACATCTAATTATATAATTATTAAATAAAATTGGAATGATAGATTAAAAGAATGGAATGAATTATTAATGGAAGAGTAAAGATTACAGAATCTAGTCTTTACAGAAGAACTAATAAATTCTAGTAATGAGTTATTAAGTTCATATATATATCCTACCATTGCTATTGATGCAAAATAGGGATTTGCATGATCTTTTTATCAAAGAACTAGAAAGACCCAAATATCTGTATTTCCTGAATTTAATTAACAAATTATTCCAAATATTTACATAATAAACCTAATAAATAATCTGTAAATTTTTATTATTAATTTTAATTATAAAAATTGAAATTATAATAATTATAAATCACGTGATTTGTCCAAAATTGTCCAATGAAAAAAGAGTACAGGTTTTGGACAAATGTCCAAAACCCTTGAATTGTCCAATTGCCCAACACTGCACTGGGCACTGGGGTATGGGGAACTTGTGTAATTTTTATTTGCCTGTTTTATCTCACATTAAATAAAAGTTCGTCTCGTCTTCAAAAAAAAAAAATATCACTTTAAATAAACTTATTAATAATCATTTTGAATATATATTTGGCTTTATACAAAAAAAATATTTTTTGATAAATACAAAATTAGAAAGTATATACTGTAATTTATATATATAATATTTGTAGTATTTCACAATAAATAAATTTACTCTAATTTACTTATAAAAATCTATTTATTTTACTTTAAATATAATTTTTAATATATTTTATATATGTTATTTAATAAAGTTTAACAAACGGTTATTCAGTTCATATTAAAATAAATAAATACAAATATAAATATTATAAAAGATATTTTACTAATTACTACTAATTTACTAAATATATATAGAAGTATAATTATAATAAACTAAATTACATTAAATTACACATTAATTCAATAGAATTATCTATCTCCAACCTTTACCGAAACCATTTGCCCAACCATCACGTACAGGACGAGGAGTACATATTAATTCAGGATCAAAACAATCAGGTAGACATATATAACCCTCAAATCCTAACTCATCAAGACCTTCTTCATTAGGTTTCATGGCACGTACAGTTTGTGATATATCAAATGAAGTATCCTATTAGACGTATTATAGAAAGTGGTTAATATTTTTTCCTTCTTGTTTTTTAAAAGAAAAACTGCTTACTTACATCTAGAAAACTTGTTGATTCTTTCGATAATTTTAATTTTGATCTATTAAGTTTTGCTTTTATAATTTCATCAAAATAGCGTATATCATAATCTTCACTTTCTCTTATTGCTCTCTCGGTAATAAATTGTGAAAATGATTGAGAATCCAACAAATTAGATAAAAATGCCTAAAGATTAACATGTCAATTGTTAATAGTTGCTTATAAATCCTTCCCCCTTCTATATGAGTAAATTACCTTTGCATCTTTATCGACAGTTTTTAAGAATAAATCTTTTTTAAATAATTCATTAGCGTCTTCGACAGCGCCAAATCCATTATCAACTGTTTCACATGCACGACTATCTGTACCACTACGATTGATCTTATTTGCAAGAAAATAACGATAATCTTTTAATAAGGAAGCAAACAATCTTAGGAATGCCTCGGATATTTTTGATTCATCAAAACTAGCAGGTATACAAGGGTTAACTATATCATTTAAACATTCATCATGTATCATAATAGAACATCCTTCACATTTATACACAGTATTAATACCAAGACTATCTCTACATACACTACAAGCCAGACCTTCCATCATCCAAGTATTAATACCACTTTTATGTCCAAATTCTTCAATATCGGGTGGTAATAATGTCATTAAATGACCTTCTTTTGGTATATAATTTTTTTCGGGACTTATTCCTGGTGGTAATTTGTTGTTTGAATATATTTTACTTGATGTATCATCAAATAACGAATCAGAATAATTGGTTGAATAAGGTGACGTTGGTGGACTTATGACTGACGAGTTATTACTAACTGAGTTTGATTGTGAATCTCCTCCATTTAATATATTTATTGAGAAACTCTTCCTTGTTAATGCTTTGTTCTTAAAAGTCTGTTTTTCACCGAAAAAAAATTACAAAGAAATGAATTAGTTATTTAATTAAAT